TAAAATTTCATTATTTTCATATCTAATTGTTAATAATACTCCCGTTAGTGATTAGGGTTCATGCAATTATTGGCCGATCGCTCCCACTAATCAGTCTATTATCAGATTAAAAGCCCAATTAAGCTCTCCAATAAGTTTAAATTAATGGCCGAACAGCTTTCTTTGTTAAGCTCTAATAACGTTTATTATGTAGGATGTAGTTCAGACTTTATTAACTTTACAAGTTTAGTGCTATTACTAGTTTTAGCAGTTTTAGTAAGGATTTATATAGAATCCGCACTCAAAATAAGATACTGAGTGTATTCAGAATGCAGAACAATGGTCAAATAATACAATGCCGTTAATGCTAATGCAAGAACGACTATTGTTTCTTGTAGGTAAATGAATTTTCTTATTTCTGTACTAAAGTGTGACATGTTGCAATATAAGGAATTTAATCTAAATACCATGCTTTACAGGTAAATACAGTATTCGAAATAAATAGATTACACATTGACAACCTTTTAGCTTGCGACTAGCCTAAAAAAATAAGTAGTTTTTTTATTCATGACAAGTTAGGTATTTGACCGCAATCGCACCTGGTATTAAGTGAGAAGCAGTCTAGGATGGTCCATTATCTGCCCTGTAAGTGCCTATTCACTCTCGCCTTGAACAGGCCCAGATTATAGTGTTTAGGAAAGATTTATCGTTGTCTATCTTCAAAGGTAGCCATGAACCACTAAATTAAGGAACTTCTAGATAAACTAAAATAGTAAGACAGGGGTCTTAACGCGACGTTTATTAATGACATCATGTACTCACTGCTTGACGTTGCAGCCGTGGTCACAAGCAGACTGGGCGGCTCGCGGCGTCGTCCGTGCGGGCGGGCTTGAAAGACAAACATCAGATAGATACAAAGTAAGCCTATCCCATCCAAATATCTGCAATCATTTCGCTCGTAACATAAACGGAACATGATCAAATATGCATGGACATTACGCAATATATTTCCAAAGGCGCGAACCACGCTGAATGTTTGATATCACGTTACTACAAAATCTCCAACTTTCCCGTTTGAAATTTTCACAAAATACGGAGGCATCTGAGTGTTATTCGATTTAAGGCAGTTTGCATACGTAAAGAGGGCAGACGATACGAAACTTGGGACTTGAAACAATTTTCGCTCCGTCTCTGCAGCAATGTAAATCGTTCATACATTTCTTATGTTACGATATTGACAAAACCACTTCTTGTGACCGTCCACTCTCAAAGAAAAGCTCTTAGGCTGAGGTCACACGGAGCAATAAGCTGAAAATCGGATTTGTTGCAATTGAACAATAACAAGACGTGTATTCAAATCTGCTTCACTATAAATATAGGTTTAGGGGCGGGGATAATACTGAACAAAATAATATAAGGAGTAAAAAAACTCCTAAACCTTTCGTGGCTTTGGGCGTTTAAAGACGTGACGTAAAAATAGCTTCTTTACCAATTTTAGAATAGTCTTGAGACATTGATTGACCTATCGGATTACCCATATCAATTTTGTATTTAAAATTTAAAAAAGAGGAAAGGTAACTTAACAATCTTCTCTCTAAATCTTTTTCACTTCGTTTTGCTGCTAGTTGCACATTAGGCACATAGCTACTGGATTTGTAAAGTTAGGTAATACAATTTGCCTAACTTAATATGTAACAAGGTCCAATATTGTGTACAAAGCTTTACGTATACATTCAAATGGAATTGCAAGAGAACTGGCAGCGTACAATGAAAGTTTAACTTTTCATTTCCTTTAGGTGGTTTGAGAAAGATTTGGTCAAGGGGTATTATTTATTTACGTCAATTTTTCCGTTCTCAAATAACAATCGTACAGAAACTAAGGAACTTGATAAAGCTTTTCGTAAAGGTACGGGGGTATCGCATACCATTATTAGTTTATTTTGATGTAGGTCAAGTTTTAAACCTCCCGTTTTTATTGAGGTTTTTCACATGAACTTCGAAAAGTGTAGATATTTTTCTTTTTGGGTTAAGTTACGTAGCCATTTTTAAATTGTATCCTTCAGTCGGCGCACAAGTTTAATTTTAAATAGGTATCAAATCGCAATGCTCATAATAAGTAATTAGAGTTTGATTTTTAATTAAATGTTGCCAATATGCTTAAAGTCTTGTGAAAACCCCATAATAATAATAATATAGATCTCATTTACTCTCCCATATAACCTACCCTGGTAGGCACAAAACTGATCAACTAACTAAATGTCAAATCCGATCACTGATTAACTAACTTCGAGACCTTTCTAAAGTTAACTACCGTGTATTAACTACGGCTTTCAATTATTTGCATAGTTTAACCTACGACTAAATAGAGGCTTTCTATAAATTCATTGTTATACGAACCCAAAGACCCAGGTACTATAGGGATTAGAGGTATAGAACGTAATAAAGAGCGTTCGTGCGCTTTGACAAACTGTTACGCAATTAGTAGCAGTCGCGTTTTACGTAATAAGCCCGGGCTGTTCCTTGCCTTGTACGTAGGGTCTTCACCTACATATTATTAACGGGTTTACGAATGTGTGCTATCGTAATACGTAAGAAAGCTTAGAATCGTGTGGCAAGTCATGCGGAGCTCAATGTTTTTTTGAGATGTAGGTAGAAATAGAATAAGGATGCGTAGAAGAGTGTAAGTCAGCAACATAGTCCATAATGTTGATGTTCAATATTAGGTCTATACTAAGTGTCGTGCCTAGGAAAATATTTATTCAGCTGTGACAAATATTTTGGCACTCATGACCGTCAAAAACTGCCCTACGAACGGATCTTACACTAAGTTCTACAAAAACCTTTTTGTTGTTCTTTGTTTTTTTTAACAATTGGCTTTACAACTTGAATACTCTTAAATCTTTTACAAAAACGTATTTCCAGTTTCCGCTAGCCTTGTCTGACCCACGAAATTATCCGTAAGGGTATTTTCTGTCACAGACCGACATTAATAGTGTGACCCTTACGAGCTCTGCGTAAGACTTGTTTAATAGTTTATAAGACCTTTGTTACTAACACTTTTATGGGCTATGCCTGAAATAAATACCTTTTATTTTATTTATTTATTTAATCTACTACTATTCTTATGGTGCTATTGACAAATCGAAAAAAGTCCAAAACTTGCGACACTTGGGTTTTATTGAACTGTTATTTTGCTCACAAAACGTAAAAGTTTGGTTATTTAGTTTTGTGATTATATTGTTTTGCTTGGTATGAATTTCTTTCATTTATTCGTACAACCAAAGCATAAACATTAAAGTTAAGCTGCTTATTCACAATCACAGCAGCTATTAGTGCTATTTGAGATACTTCTCATTCATAATTCACTTAGTGGCTCTTAAGGATAAGTGTCATCTTAGAAATTTTCAGGAGCTGAAAATGACCGCCCGCATCATTTATATTTATTCATAGCGTCCCACCTTTTGTGATGTATACATTTGCGATGGCTCGGGTCCTCTGGGTAAGCCTACTTCAGTTGGGTTTACAAAGCTTTATAGTTATCTGGTTGCGAAAGTATTAAAGAGGGTAGGCCCTAAAGTGGTTTGCCTTTCAGTTTTGTATCGGATTCATTTCGAATGAAAACTTTCGAATTTAATCCATACACACCTTTTTTATTTGGACAACAAGACGTGTGTCTATGTCCCTGTACATTCGACAGTACGTCAGACTGTAGGTACAGTTTTTTGATACAAAATAGCACTGAAAAAAGGACAGCCGATGGGGCGTGTCAGGCGGAAATAAAATTATTGCTCTCAAAACCAAGAAAATGTATTACCAAAATGCGGTGACAGATAAATACCTTCAAGAGTATCAAAACACAATAGTTAACCTTAAAAAAAAAAAGATATTATCAAAAGGTATAAAAAACATAGACAACTATAAAATAATGTGGTCCGGTCCACCTGTCACAACAAGCACCTACCACGACTAGGTAGCTCACAATTATGGTTCGCGCTCCCTTAGGACGATGATACGTACAACATAAAAATTCATACGACTAGTTCGTACGAATTTTTATTGCTGTACGTATGAGTTACTACAGTGTACAAGCAGCAAATCGAACGCACAGCGTTGAATAGAGCTCTATGATTGGTTCGTGTCCCGTACGTCCACGCGCACTGTGAGACCTCATAGTAATGTTTGTGAATACAGGCATTATTTTACGTATTCCACAGACTTCGACAAAGTATTTACTGGTGTGTTACATCAAGTCAGCCATACTATCAATATACAATTACAAGGACGTTGTTATAAAGCCGCCTATCTGGGTTATCGTGGCTGCATACAATGGCTCGCGCTCCCTTCCGACCTGGTGTGGTCCGTATTGACGCAAATTGAATACCTTGGATACATCATTTGCATAGAGGTTTAGATGTGAGAGTGATATTTTGCGATATGCCGTCATTTGCATTGCAGATTGAGCCAGGTATTATGAGATCCTTTGAATTGTATTATGGGCTGATATTGAATAGATTTGACAGGGTTAAGTTGGACTAACTTTAGTAATTATGTTGCGAGTTACGAATATTTGTATCGATTCTGCTTTTCTATTAAATGTTAGAGGCCTGTAAAGTTCTTTGACCGTAACCGAAAATAAAATACTGTTTTTAAAAATAACGTTATTCATGATTTAATCGTAAAATAAGGCACTGCTTGACCATTATCTTTTTACTGCCTACAGTTATTTTTAATTATAACGTTACCGTTTAGCGAACAATTTGCTGCCCTTCAATTACTATTTACTAAGTTGGTAACTTTTGTAAGAAACTTTAATAGAGGGCAATAACCTTATCCGTAACTAAGGTCATTGTTCTTTATTACCTACGGCTTAAGCTTGACATTATTATCTAGGTACTCATATAATATTAAATATTCTTTGATAAGATACTGAAATGTTTTTTCCTTGTTACAGGTTAAGTGAAAAGTGCTCATCAATTTTAAAATTAGAATCAAACCTCCGCGATGTTTTTAAATGTAACAAAAGAATGCCGAACTTAAAAATTAAAAGTGTGAAAATAATGACAGAGAGGTGATAAGTGTGATTCAAAATGGCGATGGTTATATCTCAGACGACTAAAGCGGCGATCGGTGGGTTCCTGGCTCTCATGGTTTTGGGGGCTGTGCTGGTGGTGGGAGCTGCCTTCGGGTGGTTCGATCCTAAAAGAGAAGACGAGGATACGCCAGCGAAAGTCAGCGCGAGGCTGCAAGGGCGGACGTCTTTTGTCACGCATCGAGCTGTGAGTATTCATTTAATCCTTTAGTACAGCGATCGGCAACCTTTTGGCAAAATAAATTAAAGGCGGGCACTTGTGATATTAACCCTAGAAGCCCAATACATCAACGTATCTAATAGAAAAAATAAAAATGCTTAACATTCACGGGCCGCGTGTTGCCGACCTCTGCTTTAGTAAGTACATAGTTGATATAAGTGCAGTATGTTTGAGTGTGAGCGTATTTGTGTATTTAGTAACGTGAATTACTTGGACAATTAACTTATCAATTAAGTCACAGGATAAATGCTCGATAAAGTAAGTAATTTATCCAAATACGCAAGAATATAATCTATAATCACAGTTTAATGAAGTCGGTTAAAAATTAGAAGGATAGCCTTTGTTTGTAATGAACTTTATTCATGTTTTTAGGACATTAATATCCCTCCTCGTTCTCCTGATAAAATTTTGAACCTCAAACGAGTAACCATATTGTTTTTTTAAACAAAATCGACACACTTTCCACCACCAGAGAGAGTTAATCTCACTACAATCTCATCAATATTTTACTGGCAGCTTAAAATCCTTATTTATTTTAGCTCTGGAGCTAGTGAACCGTAAAATAACAAATCGCAAGTAGTTAGATAAGGCCAGGGGACGTTTGATTGGAATTTGCAACGACGAAACGTTTTATTTCAGCGAAACCCACTAGACCGTGGTGCTAGTTTAGGGATATAAATTTGTAACATCAGGTTCTTTAGAGCGATTCAGTTTCTATAGATTATACGCCTGAAGTGTTCTAAAAATATATTTAGTTTTGGCAAATTGGTGCGATTTTCAAGTGATATTTTTGCTTATTAAGTGAAACCTTTTTAGTTTACACTACAACTACATAGCTAAGTGGGCCAATTTTATATTAAATACTTATTAATATGCGTTTTTAAATTCATTGGCTAACTAAGAAAATGTCTGCTAATCGAGGTCAACGTTCCGAATTGGGCCAGACAGAATCAATCGAATGCTACTAATATCTGTAGAACCGCCATTAAAATTGATAGTTAAGCCAATTTAGTGAAGACGTTTACTTTTATGAAATACTTAGGTTATTTCTTCGTTGAAGGTACTTTGAGCTTTTGTAAGTTAAAAGGCGTTGATAATAGTTCTTACAACCTAGTTAAGATTAGAACGTATCAAAAAATAAATTTATCATTGTAGCTACGGCAGAATCTCTCGTAGCTTGCTACGACTCTACTGACTTCGTAGTACGCCGCGCCGCTACGAAATACTACAATACATTTTCGTAGCGTTAAAAATGTTAGAATCTCACTGCACTTTTATTATTCAACTAAAAACCCACACTAAAAGTACGAAGTGTTCGTGTATAAAACCATTACGCAGATTTTGATTCTGATAACAGAAAGAGCGGAGCGAGCGTTTTCTCCATCCATGTTTTTGCACTTAAAAAGTAAATTTGTATGCCAACCGGTGTCTGCTTGAACCATTTCAGAATAAGTTGATTTTAAATTAATTTAAAACATGAGGGAATTTAAAATTCTATACGGAGACTCTAGCAGCTCGGATCTGTCCTGTTTTATTCATAACAAAGCCGAAAAGCCAATTACAGGACTGGTGCAATATTTTTGATGACTTAAGCTCGACTCACGTCTCGGCTAAATGCTGCAAGTAATTTGAGCGTTTTAATTTTAATTTGAAAGTTTAGTTTTGTTGTTTATTACTTTATAATGTTAAAGTGATTTTAGGCGTGCTTTTAATAAATTTAACAGTTTTGGAGAATTATTAAAACTGTTAACATACATTCATGCGATCCAAAGTCAAACTTAATACCATAAAATATTCTATCCCAGTCAACCTGTAGGGTAACAGAAATTAGTCTACTATTTGTACTACATGGCAACGGCGACCATTTACGTAGGTACATACGATAGCTAAACAGTAAATACTAACCAGAATAACTAAGAAAGAAAAATGTTTTTACTGTAGATCCAATAGGGATAAAATTCTATGTACCTAATGTTATCCCATTCACAAAAATAAAAAAGCTGTTCGATCGAGCGCAAACATAACCAATTTCAATTACACCTAAAGGTGATCGTAGTATTTACTTTGATTCCACCAGCATTTCGATAAAATGCTAAAGGTTACACCAGAAAAACATTTCGCCAACAATGTTTACAAAAACAACATAACTGTTTACCTTTATCGTTCAGCCACAACAACCCTTACGATAGCGCGGAGAGAACAGCCAAACCAGTCATATTGAATTAGAGAGTTAGCACATTTAAGAATTGTTCTATGTGCTGCCATGAGTTTGCAGTAAATTCACTTGCAAGTAACTGCGTAAACATAATACATTATGGTCATTAAGGTTGCCTTATCTACCTTGTTCAATGTGCAAGTTAATTTTTGATAAAATAAATTGGAATGAAAAATATTACTTGATAAGAAGTTGAGGTATGCCAGCAACTTGAAAGCCACGATAGCCGACTGAAGGGGTCGGACTGGCCGACTCGTAATCCGGGGAACATGGGTTCGGTCCCCGCCGCCACTCGACTATTGTGGTGAGCTCACTCGTGATACAAGCATATTTAGCTTAGTACGAGGCGAGGGGCTAACGGAATTATAAACAAATTACTAATAATCTTAAAAAATAACAAAAAAAACTCTTCAACTGAAAAAGAGAGAGCGGCTAGAGCTTTCGACCGACAAGCGAAGTGTTGTAGGTCATTCTTAACTTAGGCTATTATTTTTTTTTAAGTTCTAAGTAATTATACTTCTACTGAACCACTAAACTCACTTCCACTAAACCCAGCCAAATGTGAGCTACACACTTGTAGGTGATTCGTTACAATATCTATTCTATTTTACTGGATTTGTTTTGTCAAAGATCGTTATAAATGTATTCTGATGTAATAGCAATAATTCTGCAACATACGTCCATACAAACTTTCGTATTTATAATATTAGTGGTATTCTATTAACTTTAATCTAAACTTTAACTATTAAATAAATTCATTCATACATCACGCAATTAAACTATTTATTAATCGCATATAAAATAATATTTCGTCGACAAGCAAAACCGCGTCAATACCTTGTGTGCGGCGATCGCAATAGATCTGCGTATAGCTATACATATTCGCCCACTAGGCTCAAGGACGCGCGCCGTGCGCCGGCCGCAGAAACCGAGCGCTCGCCAGTCCGCAGCTACGATCCCACGCGAAGCCCGTGCCCGCCTGCGCGCGCGCCACTGGTATTCGATTGTATCGATCTATTACATTCGGAAGTAAACGACCGTTGTTTCAAGTCTTATGTTTTATTTCGCGCTCGGTAAATTTAGAATAACACATCTAAACACTCGCGTGCAAAAGTGTTTACTTAACACTTACGCGCTTGTCCCCATAACGTGTCGTATTCATACATTTCTTAAGGGGTTGGCGGCCGCGTCCGAATCACAAGCAAAATTATGATATACCTGTTATTTAATACGGCCGCTTGTGAACAAGTGCGTGGTTTAAGGTCAAGGTTGTTTGCAAACGCTTTAATTTAACGATGAAGACAAATAAAAGATGCTTGAATCGTCAATTGAAGCCTTTGGCTTGGCAAACAGTGCCAACGCAATTTGAACCTCATTTTCTTACAATAAGGTCAAAAAGCAATGCACTATAAAGAGTCAAGTCCTTGAAAGTGACTCACTTTAAAAAAAAGTGTCACAAATTGCTTTAAGTCTATTGTTAAGCCAGCAGAATAACTTATTTAAAAGCGCACTGATAAAAATAGTTCTTTTAAGTGTTCGCTTAAGCTGAACATTTATTTAATGGATGGCATGTCTGCTTTAATTATTCTACGTTAGCTGAGCGAATAGCATCACTTATATGTGTTTTTAGACCTTACTTTGTGAGTAATTAAGGCACTTTCCCCCTTTTAGCCGAAACAAAGCGTTTAGTCGACCGCTATTTTATTCAGAAAAAGCATTCTCACGAAAAGTAGGGTGGAAATGTGTTGAATACTAACGGGGGAGTGTAGAACTGTAGACCAAACAACGAATATAGACTATGAATAATAAACAAGCCTAACCCTTAATTACGCGCATAAAGAATCTTACATAACTGCTCGCATGGGGTCACAGATGACCCCAAATTGTATGAGTAGTTTTTAATACATACTGAAATTTTATAAGTAAATGAACTATATCATTATAAANCTCGCAGTACGGCGGCTGACACGATGCGACTCCCACAACCTTATACTGTAGTCATAAAGTCACGATGACGGAGAGTGCGGAGTGCTCTCGGAGGGCTCGGAGACGTCGGAGGGCGGCCGCGCCGACACCGACGATGAGGGCATCGAGCGGGACGCGGAGCCCGTGCCGCGGCGCCGGCGCAGGCGGCGGCGGTTCATGCTCAGGGACGTCATAGAGGCAAGTACCTTACTGTTGTCATCATTAGGTCATGATGACGAGAGACGACACAGAGGTAAGTTTGGTCTCCACTGCAGGAGCATGACCCTGTCTTAACTCACCACAGGCAAACGGAGGAATTTAGTGAAATGGGAAGGAAAGCAGGTACTCATAACAACTTAAACATTTATAACATTCTTAACGTTCCATTTCTTTACTCTTAATTGGCATATGTCTCAGTGTATTGAATTGAAACCCGCTCTTCGTAATTACTTTTATCTTGGGTAGTATCACTAACTTACCCTAGGAATACCGTTGGAGGACAAGCTGGAGACCCTGACTTTCCTGGAATTGCAGCAGTAGGAAACAGTTTCATTAGCGTAATAATATGGATTCAGTAATTAGATTTCATCGATGCGTAATTTTGTAAAGCTTCGAAAATACACATGAGAGTCTTCCTAAATCACCATTTGCTCCCCATTTAGAAAACAATAGTTAACCATATGGAACAGTGTTGTCAATTTTATTATCCGATGTCCTTGGGGGCAATAAAGCGGGTGGTTTATTGTTATTGGCCTCCGCAGGCGCCGGCACTTGATACACTTTATTG